CCCCAAAACCCCAAAACCCCAAAACCCCAAAACCCCAATAAATCTAAATTAAGTTGAAATTGGTCCATACAATTCATATCTTTAATATCTGCTTGTTTCTGAGGTCTTTGAACTGTCCTAATGCCTAAAATGAATTAAAGAATGTTAAAGTGAAGAAGTCACTGGTATTTGAGTAATTTGAAATAAATTCAGATGTCTTATACCTAAACCGACCGTAGAGCTCAACATGGCCAAAACCACTGGAATCAACTATAGAATAGACATAACTTGAATCTTTGAACATTTGTCCAAAGCAAATACTTTGCAAAGAGTTCTTGAGATCTGATCTAGAAAGACAATTGAGAAATGCTTCAAGACCCGTTCGGTATCTTCTTCCTGGCTTGAATATTAAAAGTACTCAAGTTATATCCACCAAAGATAATGTCTGAATAGAAGTTCCTTGCAGTGCCTTAGAAAAATCGGGAAACTTCTTCAAAGTGACCTCACATAGTCATAACTTTATCGCTTTCAGATGTTTTCACGCTGCAAAAATTTTAACGACTTGGAGATGATTTATTCTAAAACGCTCAAGTGTCAACCTTGTCTGGGTTCTCGAGCTTCCTCGAATAATTTCAGTCATATAGGGACTAATTTGAATTTGACCCCAAGCCCTAAGTGATAACTCGTTAACTTTCATCGGGATCAAATTATTTAGAACTGATTTTGCATCTTTCAGATTGTCTTCAGAGATGTTTCATAACTCTACCTCGTTAAGAATTGTAAGATTAATTCCCTTTAACCTCTTTAGGAGGCGTTGATTTGTGTTATCTGCACAATTAATAAGCAGACTATCTTCAGACCTGAAATATTCATCTTCTCCAGTAGTATTGGGACTTTTCATGTTTTTATGTACAGCTGACCACACTTGACTATTAAATTCAATGGCTTGTTCCAAAGCTTGATTCTCAATTGGAGTGAACTTCTTACTTATATTTATCCCTATCTTTCGAGGTCTTATAAGGAAGGGTCTTTAAATGGATGCTTTTAAGGACTGTCTTCCTCCCTCTCTTAGTATGTTTCTTTCTGAGAGACTTTTTCTTTTTATTTGGACCATCTGAGAGCAAGGATTGACATTCCCTAAGAAGTTCAACAATGGTATCTTGCACATGCTCAGCTCTCTTGGAAATAGCTGGGTTCAGAGTGATAAAGTCATCCCAGTCAGTCTGATTCATTCTATCTCTTTCATAAAGTATCTCTTGTTGTATTTGGTTTATTCTTAAGGAGTGGCAGTTAGCTTTCAGTCGTTCGTAAAGAGTAATAATTCTGAATAAATACTTAAAGGTCCTTTTCTATTGCTCTTAGTCTCTTATATTCTGAGCTCAAATCCACTAGAAAGTCTTTAAAGCACCAAGATTCTTCAATTGAATAATTTAGTTGATTCGAAGAGAGGTTGTTAGAATGGCTATTCGTTCGTAAAGGATAATCTTTATCATGAATTGATTTAGTATCTCAACAAGATTCCATTAAATATTAAAATTATTATTAAAGATAAAAGTTTACCTTGCTTTTCAATTCTTTTGATCCATTCCGGGGTTTTGGGGTTTTGGGGTTTTGGGGTTTTGGGG